GAGGAAATCTGGAGCCACGTACGTTTGCCACTGCTATATGCTACATCGCTGAAAGCAAATGCAGTTCTAGCCAATGACTTTGGTTGGAATTAATTGGCATTCAACACGTATGAATGCAGCTTTGATACAGGAGATATTTCAGGTGCTCGAGAGAGTAAAGGAAAGCTGGCCTCTGATCCCGGATCACTTCCTGTATTTAAACGTTTTCACTAAACACACAGAGTACAGTCCTGGCCCGTCGTGGTCTCAGCGTGCTAACAGCATGCTAACATGCTGGTCACCAACTCGAGAGCAGGGTGAGTGAACGCTGAGTAAAACCTCTGGAAGCACCTGTGCCTTTAGACGCCTGCTTCACCGTTTTGTAATTTTTCGTTTTGGTTTCTTTTCTCCAACAAAGATCAACTCATTCCAATTATATCGAATCTTTAAAAAAGGTTACTTTGCTCATCATGATCGTTTTTCGTTGTTTCAGGCGGGTTTAAAATTTCTACCTGGGATACGTATGAAAACTGTCCAAACAGCATGTTCAGGTGCCGTCAGGGTCAAACTCGGACGTCACGGCAACAGCACGCGTGGGAATAAAAAAGGACTGTTGGCGATGTTTTTCTTATTCGCACCAACTGATTCTAACTGTTTGACGTCTTTATCATAAATGGTAGTTTGTTACAATCGCAGTGACTCCTCCACTTTATTCCAATCATCCAACCACGGTGACACATCCATTCTGGAGCACTGTCATTCTTGTTGCCAGGGAAACGTAACACGTCAATCACGGTTGTGTTACTTCGGCACAGCTGTGGGGTTTGAAACCAGTCACTTCACTCAGCACTGGATCTCAGCCTGGCAGTGTTGCATTGTGGGAGGGGAAACTGAAGTCTTTGAGAGGGATGCAGGAAACAGAAGTAGATGACGCCTCGCGACGATTCCTTTAGCAACATATTCCTATAAGTTCTTTCCTACAAACAGTTACATTTAACAATCACAAACATATAAATGTTGCTGTTATCAGGACTCTCACTACAATGCTCATCCATCATCAATGACATTATGGATTCATGGAAAAACTGACTCTGTTTTCTTACACATCACACAGACCCACAAATCCTGCACACCCAGGTCATGTTCTCCTTTTTCTTTCTTTACACTCTAATTGTTTGATGTCTTTAAAATTGGAGTTTGAGCCCATTCTGATCGTAATTTTTAACGCGCGTCGATTCATGTCCAGATCTCTGCCTTGGATCACCTTCACCTCTACAGAGAGACTTTAGCTGCGCTGCATCTTATTTGAGATGCTTTTAGAGGCAAACAGGGTCTCTGCTAGTTAACCCTAACCCTTCCTCGACTGACCAAGTTAACTTCCCCTCGTGCTTTACCGGCTCGATCGTTTTCCTTGTTTGATTTTAAGGAATCTTTCAGCCATGCTTGGTAAACAGTAAATGGGCTGATGCTGTTTTATTCTACCTGAGCTTTAACAACAACATGTTTATCATCAGTCCAGCAAAGACTCACCCAGTTTTATTCTAAAGTCTGCAAACCTCGCTGACTCTTTGTGTTCAGCTAACCCTGCTGCTTTTGTGCTTTGAATTTATAGCCAACCTTTAGCTTGTCAGTGCAAAACACTTTCCTGCATCAGTTTTATTTAGCCCCTCTGTTTCCCCAGCGTGTCCAAAATATGGCAAAAAAAATCGGAGTTACTGAAAGCACCCGGAGCGACTCGGTGATAAACCTTTAAAGTGTCCAGCCTGTAAATGCACATTGTGTAACAGCTGTAGGACGCAGCGAGTTCTCAGATGAGTTTCCTGTAATAAGCTTGGAGAACTTGTGGTTTTACTGTTTTTTTAAAAGTAGCTCTAACGTAAGAAGGGAGAACAAACAGCAACTGTCAGGATTAAAGAGAATAAACTACCTGCATGTGTGACAAATTCCAAAGTTGAACCTTTTCTGGAAAAGTGAGGCAGTGCAAGCTGATTGCTGTGTGCAAAGAGAGGTGAACCGAAGGATTTGGTCCGACCACGGAGGCAGAAAGAGACAAACGTGTGTGTGTTGGGCTCTTGGTTGTATTTTGGGAAAAACAAATGAGAATCTATTTTTTTTTTTACTTTGTATAAGCACCATGATGTAATGTAATTACCTCAATCAAAACCTATTTTACTGTCTAAAGTTCTATTGTTGTAAAATACAAATATTTTATGTAGTGTAAAACCTCACAGTTTTATAAAAAGGAAAGTAATATTGGTTCAGAAATTGTTGGTATAAATTTTGGATTTCTGCTCCATCGGTTCAAAGTGTTTGATTTTATC